TGAGAACGGACTAGCTGGTTGGTGGACCAGCCGTAACTCTGCTCCAGTTATCAAAGACTGAGAAACTAACATTCGGCGGTTGTACTACCTGATACGATTTTCACAACAATAATACAAAATCCGCGTTAACTGCTGAGGGGCACTTTATCAAGGGGATAAAATATTCAGTGGTGGTCACTTTGCATAGCTTACAATCACCAGTTTTTTTCGGCTAGTTATATTCGGTGTGAAACCGATTAATAACATTTCTTCAATTTATCCGCGCGACTGGCTGAATTTCCTGCCTATTTTGATATTCCCAAGGAAGAAAGTATGCAGAAAATCAACCAGAGACAGTAGAGTTTATTCACCATTTTTTCTCCATTGCTGAATATCTTTTCCCCTAGTGAATGTTTTTTTGCATTTACTGACCGCCTACTCCACCTAACTGACTTCACACAGGGTGCATCGGAACGATTTACGTCATCACCATAAACTCTTTTTTTTAATTTTAGGTGCGGGAGTACGTGCATCCAGACAAGTTCGCATATTGGGAGGAAGTTGGGAAAAGTTTGGGATTCCTTTACACAGCCAGTGGACCTTTGGTTCGTTCGTCTTATCGCGCGGGCGAGTTCTACATAAAGCACATAATCGACACAAAGCGCCGAATGAAGACTACTTAATTATTCTCGCCTCCCTACTGGTCTGTTCGGTGAACCAATGAGTTTTCCGATTGGTTTTTGCTGGCGGACAGGCCTTTTCTTCAATCTCTTTTATGCAATCATCTTCCTTACCCACGAACACGTGGACTTCAGCGTCGGGGTCCCCAGCACCGCATGCTGCCATTGCTTCCTTCCTCTTTAACCTAGCACCGTTGAATTTTGCGCCTCTCGATGTGTTCATTGGCGGCGCGGGTTGTTGTTTTATTTCCGTCCTGTTTGTTCTTCTTTAGGCAGACCTTTGACTGTTTAGCACTGTATTTCGTTTCCTGTACAGTATCTGCTTGCATTATCCGCTTACCTTCTTCAACAAACCAACCTACAAGTGGCCGGGAGAGCTGTGTGATAGCAAGTAGATGTGGTGCGTTCTACTACATGGCTGTACGTTAACTTGGCGATTTTGCTCTAAAACGCCCGTTCTTCATTGAATTCACATTGTATTAGCAGACCTAGTTTGGGTTAGGCGCCACCTGTAGTGAGCTTCAGCAAGTTAGCTAGTTTTTGATTGTACAAACATCTGTCATCACTATATTGCTTTGTGATAAGTATGGCGGATGATTTATTCGCATGTTGGCGTTCATTTAATCAACCCTGTTTCACTGGGCAAGCTACTTATGTAAAATATACCCGAAATGAGAATATTTCCAGTAATTCTCAGGCTTCAAAGATAGCCAAACTTAAAGGGGTTTCAGACAACTGGACATAAGCAGAATTAGTTCCGTTTTTGTAACTTCACATACATATGCAGCGTTGTGTTGAAATATACCGGGGAACTTTTTGGCATGGGTAGGGTATGTAACTCCACTGAGGAAATTGTAGTTGGGTAAATCAAACTTCAAGACTTCGCCGTAACCCTAACCAAAACAGAAACTCCAATTGTAAGCTTGAGATTCTAATCCTAACACGAATAACTAACCATAACCCCAACATCATACCTTAGTCCAAGTTCCGTTCTCTAAGCGTAACCTTTGAACAGAGGCGTAGACCTCAACCGGGGATACTTAACCTCAAACCCGAACACTAATATTTTTTAAGCCTAATCCTGAAACCTTAACCCTAAACCTAACGCCAAAACCACAATCCCAACCGTAGACCGGAACACCTCTTCAGGATTTATTTCCGAGAAAACTGCAACAAACCAAAACTATCTAGATAAAGCAAAAGGGTAATATCGAATTGCAACCCAGGGGGCTTACGTGACACACCTTCACCAACGGTTTGAAAAATCTTGACTGCGATTTTTTGCGACCCTTAGTCATTTAATATACCGTGCATGATTAGTAACGGGTATGCTCTCAAATGGTAAATCGGTCGATCAAATCAGAGTTTTAACGTCCTCGCCGTCTATTGTCTTAGTACACTTGACAACTGCAAGACTTTCAAAGTTAAGCCACTGAATTTTCCCTCTGTCCAATATCAGTAATTCACTTTCTCCATTACTATGCACTTTGAACTGCCACACTCATGTTCTGCAACTCTTATGCGGCAATATCCGCGCGAGTGCTCGTGGACGAGGAGGGTAAGTACAGTACCACGAGGACACCCGGTGGAACCCTCGCAAGGGCTTACAAATCAACTCAGAGAGACCCGTTAGGACCTCTTCAGTGGCCGAACTGCCTGGGAAAGGGTAATGGAGATTATAAACCTCCTCCAACGTGTCCACGCTGTCAGCGAGTATTTCGCATGGATCATAGTGCAGTTATCAGACATTATTTTTCATGAGGTATCTCGGGAATTGTGAGTACGGGTGGGTCCCCGCTCGGGGTTGTCTCCTCTAGCACTTTGGCTCAATAGCCTAACCACAACGCAGCGGTGGCAAGCAAACTTATTTAATGACGGTTCATTCTCTCCATGTCCCTGTCAGGCTTTGCGACACTTTATCGGCTTTTGGCTTGCTAGACCTCCGCCCGCCGCATCCTGGTAGCACTGCCGCGACTGCTTATTCGCCAGACCCGAGAGTCTACTTATTTCACAGCTAACCTTCACTGAAGTTCGCTCCACCTCTGGACGCGCCGAATAGCCAGCAGCTAGGCTAACGGGTGACCCGCCCTGCCCTCGACCCCAAACCGTTACCTAATTGGAAACATCAAATCGGGGGTGAGCTCAAAAACTGGCTCGACTCAGTCCATCGGGACATGAGAGTGGTTCTTGGACATTCGGTCTCTGGCGCTGGCGAAGAGAATGGCTCGAACTGTCCAGTTTTGCTGCCACTGATCGTAGCGCGTGGAGAAGAACCGTACGGAACATAATCTAGACCGGCTAGATTAATCATGCTCGCAGCCGCAACAAGTACAAGTACCTCAAAACCTATGCAATGGTAACTCGCCAACCAGCCGTTGCTTACACCAACGCCCCCATTAGTCACCTCTTCGCCAAACCCCGCGATGGCGACCACTACTACCGCCACCACCGAATATGCCGTGCCAGCCTACGGTCACGATAAACACACTCGCGCACAATTAGTCGTCCTTGCATCCACTCTGAGGTGAACGCACACGTAAACTTCGATTCGACATTCAAAATGTCACACCATGTTGAATGAATAGGAGTTACAAAATGGTCGAGCTTCGCAATCCCAGTCTGCAGGTGCATCTGAGGGAGCTGAGAGCATGGCAAGTGTTGTTTCGGCGATGCCATACATCTTTCTCGAGCGGTAGACCATTTGGGTGAGTTGTGCGGCAGAAAGACAGCCATAAGCAGGTGCTAAAATATTGTCAACTTCGCGCGATTTAATCATACACCTGAGAGAAGAAAGCTTGCCGTTTTTTTTTTCGGGGTCGCAGTGGATGGGGACCTTCGTAATGACTTAAACAACCATGACAGATTCAATCGTAGTTTCTGACGATGTCCGCAGCGTAACCGCAGCGTTGGCGTGATGAGTCAACAGTGGCGCTAAGGTCCACTACACCCCCTCCCCCCATTCATCTGGATTCGGTGTTAGGGCATGTTCGAAAAGACCAGAGACGGTATCCAGCGTTGATGGTTGGAGCGGCGTGAGCATGTGCCTAGGCGTGCGATCACACCCCGTGTGACTTTTGTTGTGAGCACGCATCCTCAATAACGTCGCGTCTATTTTGTGGGTTTTGTAGAGATTAAATAGGCTGGTATGGACCAATACCGCCTCCAATCTTCCTGGTCATATCATGCGTGTACTGATGGCTCACTGTGGAGGTTTTCAAACGGAACTCCAAACCACGGCCGTAGTCGGCCGCATTACTGGAATATGAGACGAAAAAGCGAACTTTTGACTATTCTATCTTCCAATTTATCCACTATTATTGGCATTTATGTCTACCGCTCATTCGCTGAAGGAGACTGCGGAGTACGGACAACGTCCACATGCAGTTCTCGAAGGCAAGGGGAGACTGCAGTTCAATAAGCGTGCCTTGGAAGCTACAGTGTAACAGAGATTCCGCGGAATGTCACAAGGCTTAATTTCTTGTGCAACAGCCTGCCAGAATTCAAGCCCCGTACTACGCAACTCTTCGGTAAGGTTCCTGGTAAGTGACGGTAGCTAAAAAATCCCAAATAGACATCAAGACATTCCTTGGTTTTCTCGTCATCACAGCTTGTCGCCACGTGACTATCTGTGAAAACTCTAGACTGGCATTGGAAAAAAAGGCAATGGGACAAAGATGTTCATAAAGTCATCCGAGCGATTGGCGCATCTGTTATGTTGAATAAATATACATCTTATACATTCATGAACCAAGTAATTCCTATCTTGAACCGGCCCGCAGTGTCTGAATTCTACACTGCTCCCAAATATTGCACGATTGGGTTTGTACTTGCTACGATTGTGATCATGCCTGATCTAGCCGACGATTAGGTTTCCAGTAGCAAGGTATGTCCAAATCTGCTCAATTTCCCGGTCTCGAGTAAAATGCCTGCTATAAACGAAAAACTGACAGTTAGCTAACTCAGACCACCTCCGTGTGCATCTACTAGTTTACTTACTCCTGAGGTGCAGGTTAGATTGGTCGCACGAGTCGGCGCTTATCCAAAGGAATAAAGAAACATCTCCCGGCATGGCTGAGAAGAAGTGAAGTCAGGAGCATGAACAGCGCTATTCTTGCACACACTGTTGATTCCCGACATCCTGCACACCCCAACGAAGCTTTCCAAGTCCCTTAGTCAGCGCCTGCTAGCAACAGCAGAAGCGAACACTACCAGGCTGAAGAAGTCAGTATCATGTGCGCTTAGCATGACAACGATAACTGAAATGCATGCACTCTTCCGCGCACCCTCGTTCTCTC